GGGTCCCCCATTCTCCTGTAAGTAACCCCAATAAACTCATTGGCTCATGGGGTATACATCAGTATTTTATTTTATATTTTATTTTATTGAAACAGTCTCATGCATCCGGGGCTAACCTGGAACTCACTGTGTAGCTGAGGATGACTTTGAATTCCTGATCCTAAGTGCTGGGATGACAGGCATGTGCCACCATGTCCAGCTTCATTTAAAGATACTTTAAAACTATTTGGGAGCTGGGCATGGTGGTGTATGCTTGTAGTCCCAGCACTTGGGAGGCAGAGGCAGGTGGATTTCTGTGAGTTCAAGGCCAGCTTGGTCTACACAGTGAGTTCCAGGCCAGCTGGGACTACAGGGAGACCTGTTTCCAAAAAAAAAAAAAAAAACCAAAAAACAAAAACAATTTGGGCCAGAGAGATGGCTCAGTGATTATGACCACTGGCTGCTCTTGCAGAGGACCCAGATTCAGTTCTTAGCACCCACATGGTAGCTAACAACCATCCTTAACTCCCGTTCCAGGGATCCAATGCCCTCTTCTGACATCTGTGGGTATTGCATGACGTGGATGCACTTACATGAAGGCAACACACTCATACACATAAAATAAAAAAAATTTAAGTAGATGGGGGTAGGGAGGAAGAGAGGATAGACTGATAGATGGCAGGTAATAGATGACTGATAGATGACTGAGAGGAGAACAATGGGAAGATGATAACAGATAAAGGATAGAATACTCACAGAGAGCACAAAAACTTAAATAATCACTGAGTTAGTAGAAAGATCAGGTGCCCCTGGCTGCGTCACTCCATGGTTCAGGGCGTGACAGCGGGAGCCTATGGCGAGGGAGCAGCCCCTGTTGGACACTGTGGAGTCCGTTACTCTGTCCTCTGCTTGGAAATTTCTGTGAAGATGAGGGGTGTTTTTCTTTTTTCTTTTTTTTTTTTTTTAAAGACAGGGTTCCCCTGTATCTCCAGCTAGCCTGGAACTCGCTATGTAGACCAGGCTGGCCTCAAACTCACGGAGATCTGCCTGTCTCTGCCTCCCAAGTGATGGGATCAAAGGTGTGCACCAGCACCCCAGTCAGCGTCCTTAACTGCTGAGCAATCTCTCCAGTCCCGAGGAGTGTTTTTCTAAACATGTTTGACCCAAATCCATAAGCAAATGAGTTAAGGAGTAGACATTTGGGGTGCTTCTCCTTAATGTGGCTGGCAGGCTGGATGGGCCCCCCACCACCCAAGTATTTGTATGAGGCTACAAGTTTGGGTATCATATGCTGACGAATTATATGGAAAACACAGAATGATTCTTTGGTGGGTGTTGGCAAATAGGTGGCCTCTAATGTCTGCGGCTCGGGTGTTAGTGCGCCACTAACTTCCACTGCTCTTTGGAGGCAGAGCCATTTAACATACACTTACTGAGTCCTGGAATTGAGCAAGCACCTGGATCCTGACCACCAACTTCTATGGCACCCAAGACCTTCGCTGTTGAGTCTCCAAGTTTCCCGAGGTTCTGCTGTGTTATAAATGATCTGCTCAAGGGACACACTGAGATCAGAGCCCACAGGTAGTGAGGCATGTCATAGGTGTGTTTATTCACGCCACAGAGTGAACAGTGCTTAGACACTTAAGGGTGCAGTGGTGTTCTGTGTCCCTTCTAACAGCTTTCTGTAATTTACAAGACACTGACCTTTCATCTCTGGTGGACTCAGGAAGGAAATGATCATGAACAGAAGCAAGGCTCAAACCTGTCAAAGCTTTCCTCCCTCCTCCCCCCCTTTTCCTTTTGTTTTTTGAGACAGGGTCTCCCTGTGACTTCAGCTGACCTGAAACTCACTGTGTAGACCAGGCTGGCCTCGATCTCACAGAGATCCACCTGTCTCTGCCTTCCAAGGGCTAGGAAAGCGTTATTTCTTTTACTAGTGCTTCTGATCTTATACACAATGTAGGTTGGGGCTGACAAGATGGCTCAGCAGGTAAAGGTGCTTTGCTACCCAGCTTAAGTAGCCTGGCAACCTGAGTTCGATTCCCGGGACACACATGCTGGAAAGAGAAAACTGACTCCCACAAGTTGTCCTGACTCCCACATGTGCACCCCATACCCACCACCTCCACACACCACACACACACACACACACACACACACACACACACACACAGATGAATAAATGTAATTAACAAAAACAGTGAAGGTCATTAACCTATGCCCTACCCAAATTTCCTAGCAAACCTGGGTTTAGTGAGGCCTCAGGGGACTAAACATCCTTTTTCTAAGATTTGTTTTCATTATTTTTATTTTATTTTACATACATGAGTGTTTTACTTGCATATATGTAAGTGCACCCATGTTGTACCATGCCGGTGGAGACCAGAGGGGTGTTGGGTCTCCTGGAACTGGCATTACAGACAGTTTTTATGGACAGTTGTTAGCTGCCACGTGGGTGCTGGGAACTGAATCCGGGTCCTCTGCAAGAGCAACCAGTGCTCTTAACTGCAGAGCCTTCTCTCCAGCCCATTTTTATTATCTTTAATCATGTGCATGTGTGTATGGTGGGGTATGTGTACATGAGTGCAGGTGCCTGAGGAAGTCAGAGGCACCAGATTCCCCTGGGGCTGGAGCTACAGGCAGTTTGAGCCACTCGATGTGGATTCTGGGACTTGAACTTGAACTTGGGTCCTCTGCAAGAATAGCAAGCTCCCTTAACAACTGAGTCATCTCTTTGGCTCCAAGACCTAAACATTTTTTTTTTTTTTGTCTTTTTGAGACTGGGTCTCCCTGTAGCCCCAGCTGTCCTGGAACTCACTATGTAGACCAGGCTGGCCTTGAACTCACAGAGATCTGCCTGCCTCTGCCTCCCAAGTACTGGGATTAAAGGTGTGTGCTACCACACCCGACAAAAAATAATTTTGATACACAAGTCCCATGCAAACTCAGGCAGACAATAACCCAGCATAGAACAGGGAAAATGAACAGCAGACCCCAGTCTCATCTGAAGGAATGTTGGCAACTGATTGTTGCTGGATGAGGAAGAGCTGATCTTCCTAAAACAAGGGACTGTAGATAGGCTGCCTAGACTCAGTGTGTGGACTTGCACTGGGGAATGGCTGGGAACAACACAGTGGACAGTAACTGGGATGACAGAGGACAGTGCGGGGGGCTTTGGGAGGGTGCCAGTAGGAATTGGGGTATAAAAATGATTAAGATTGTTTGAGATGTTCTATATAAAATACATAAAAAATAAAATTAAAAAAAACTTTTGAAGCCAGGCATAGTGTCACATGCCGTTGTTCTAACACTTGGGAGGCAGAGCCAGGCAGATCTCTGTGATACTGAGGCCAGCCTGGTCTACACAGTGAGTTTCAGGTCATCTGAGGCTACAGGGAGACCCTGTCTCAAAAACAAAATATGAGACACTGAGAGGGAGAAATTATAACATGAGATTTGATGACATTGGGGAGACGGCTCGGCAGCTAAGGGCACTTGTTCTTGCAGACGACCCAGTGTCGAAATATTTACAGATGAAAAAGAGGCCTAGGGTGTTACCCCAAATGACCTTGGTCAAGTGGCTGGGTGGGGTGCAGAAGAGGAAAGTGGGTCACTGCCTGAGCTGCAGGGCAGCCTTGTTTCTATTTATAGATGCTAGACGTGCTCTCTAATAGACGGGGCAAGAGTGGGACGAGGAAAAGGGACTTTGGCATGTCCTGCTGGCTTTCACCTATTAAAGAAAACCATGTTTATGTACTAGAGAGAGGGTTTAGTGGGTAAAGGGGTTTGCCATCACATCAAGCCTGACAACCTGAGTTCAATCCCCAGGACCCACATGGTGGAAGGACAGAACTGACTCCCAAGTGTTCTTCCGACCTGTACACAAACACCGTGGTACACACGTGCCTCACACATGCACACACAAATTCATTTAAAAAAATAAAAAAAAACCCATGTTTATGTTGGGTATAGTGGTACATGCTTGTAATCCCAATGCTAAGGAGATAGAGGCAGGAGCATCATGGGTTCAAAGCCAGCCTGGGCTACATGGTGAGATCCTGGGTCATAAAAACAAAAATAGGGGGCTGGAGAGATGGTTCAGCAGTTAAGACCACTGAATGATCTTGTGGAAGACGCGAGTTTGGTTCCCAGCACCCACATGGTGGCTAACAACCATCCATAACTTCAGTTTCAGGGGATCTGATGTCCTCTTCTGTCCTCTGTGGGCACTGCATGACACGGGTGCACTTACATACACACAGGTGTAACCCTCATATATGTAAAATAAAATTAAAAAAAATAAAAAATGGGGAACTGGAGAGATGGCTCAGTTAGTACAGTGCTTGCTGTAAAAGTGTGAGGTCCTGAGTTTGGATCCCCAGCACCCACATAAAAAGCTAGGCGTGGTGCTATGAGCCCATAATCACAGCTCTGGAGAGACAGAAACAGGTGGATCCCTGGTGTTCTCTGGCCTGCCAGCCTATCCCCAGGAAAAATCTTGCCTCAAAAAATAAAGTGAAGTATGATACCCAAGGATGACCTCCAGTCTCCACATATATACACATTCTCTCTCTCTCTCTCTCTCTCTCTCTCTCTCTCTCTCTCATAGGAAAAGAAAACCATCTTCACTCTATCATCCCTGCTCATGATCATAGCCCACATTCTCCTCTAGCACCCTGGGGGCCAGTGAGATGGCTCATTAGGTAAAGGTGCTTGCTGCTAAGCCTGAAGACCCAAGTTCGATCCTCAGGACCCACATGGTGGAAGGAGAGAACCGATTCCCACACGTTGTCCTCTGACTTCCACATGTGTGCCATTGTGGAACACACACACACACACACACACACACACACACACACACACACACACTAAATAAATGTAATAAAAAAATTAAAAGAAATAGAAGCACCCTGGCCTGTTTTCCTCTGAGACTACCCTTCCCTCTAGATGGTGGAGGCTTGGCTCCCTTGGCTAGAAAGCAGTAGTCTTGACAGCCAGAAAAAGCCACACAGACACTCCCATTTCTGTTTGATAATATGGTTTATTGTCCATTGACAGAGCAATCACTCTAAAAAAAAAAAATACAAAGCATCAAAGACATGCGCAGTCAGCTTGTTGACGTTCAGCAACTCTTGTGTTCCCAGCACGGGGTATCTCGGACTTCATAGTCCAGCATGAACACGGTGTCCCCCAACAACAAAGAGTCCAAACAAAATCAACAAAGCTTTAAATTATGCAGCAAGCTCACAGATATTTCTTAATACGTATCAAGCAGAGATTGGAAACAACTACCATGTAAACTTCATCTTAAATATTTCGAGTTGCTGGCACGATGGAGATGGAGGGAAAAGCGCAGTGCTTAGAATACAACATAAATTAAACAATGCCAAGTGGAGATCTGCCTTAAGCTATATATCGCAATTAATTTGCTGCAAAGGCCTTTGATTGGCCGCCGCTCGGCTGCCACCCGGCACTTTGTCCCATTGGCTTTTTTTCCGTTCTCTTACTCTGTTCGGCATGGTTAAAACACCAGCGTGTGTGATTCAAATATAAACACCATCTTTTAGAATCAACGCACTCAAGAGATGCTTCCTTCCTAATTAAGCTGAACCAGACACAAAAGTCAGAAGGTTGGAAAAGCAAAGATAAAGAGGCAGAAAAAAAGATTTGAAGGTCCCACAGTCCCAGGCCAGCTGCACCCACGCCATGCTTTCTACTCTGGGTGAGATGCTTCCTCAATGCAGAAATTTTTGTTTTGTTTTTTAAAAGTGCAAGTCTAATACCTATCAAGGGTAATTAAAAAAAAAAAAAAACCACAGCACAGGAATGCTTACAGCAATGTCAAAAACAAACTGGAACATGTCAAAAGTCAGCAGAAATGGGAGCAATTATTACATATGATTCCACTGTATAGGAAGCAAATGGGCGGGGTGGGATAGATGGGAGGATCTGGCGGCAACGTGTATACTGAAATCATGTGGTCTGGTCCATGACAGTATCCTAACAAGACTACATCACTGAACAGCATGAAAATGCCCTTGGGCAGGATGGAGGCTGATTCCTGGATTTTCTCCTAGTCTGTCCTAAAAATGGAAGTTATTAAGTTCTGAGCTGACCAGGTCCCAGTGCCACTTGGGGGCCAGGAGTCTTACAATTGCTTTGTGGTTGCTGACGGGGACAGGCTTCAAGGAGGGAGGTCTTTGGAAGCATTTTACGAAAGGACTACTCACAGGCTGCCACACCAGCATCTGTATGTGCGCATTTGTGCGTGTATGTTTGGATAATGTACACGTGTGTCCTTGGGACGGCTTAGCTTGAGACATGGGCAGGAGGAAGAGAAACTATATCCTTATGAAGCTTTGCCTGTCTTAACCCCCTTCTATTGGCATTGAAAAGTCATTATTTTTTTAAGGGAACTAGTAGGTTCCCAGTTCCCTATAAAGGGTCTTAAGTGGACAGTCTTTATGACATTAAGAAATGGAAGTAGAGAATGTCTTTGAGAATTCATCTTCTGAGAATTCATCTTTAGGAAATGAGATGTCTCTTAAAGCAAGCCACAGCATCCTGGGGGCTCAGTAAGAAGGAAGGGCCTGGAGAACCGCCTGTCTCTGTCTCCCCTTGCCTTGTGGGGCTCACGTGCTTAGCTAGTGACACAGAATCCACATAGTGACTACTGGCCTCGTACAGAGATTTCACTAGGGTTTTTCTGCTGGGGCAGAGCAAGACTGGCCTTTTACAGCTTCAGTTTGTGCAAAAAAAAAAAGGGGAACAGAGCCGGCTGCTCAACAGCAGCACAGCACCACCCCTCAAAGCAGAGCCACACAACACAACCCAGATACCAGAAACCACTTACAAGGGGTCAAGGATAGCATGATAAACCTGGGGATGAACTAGGAGGACAGTCTGACTCCTGCCCCCTGTGTGAGGCCTCACGTATCCACACTAGGGGCTGAGGACCGGGGGTGGAGATCGGAGAGGGCACAGAAATGACTTGGCTGGACTTAGACATGTGCCTCAACGAGGGCTCTACCTCCCCACCGGCCTGAGGAAGGTGTCACTGAATTCTGTAGATTCATGGGGTTGATAGGGCTCTTCTGTGAATGAACCACTGGTTCTAGGGCTGCTCTTGAACTTCAGGGAGTCCCAGGAGCTGGGAGTCTTTAGCAGGCCCAGGGGAGATGGGAGGGCACTTGAAAGGGCCAGGGACTGCCACCTTGGGCCAGAGGGGCGGCTGCTGCAGAAAATGAGGGACATACCCCTCTCAGGATGAAAAGGACCTGGTAGGCCGGCTACACAGTCATGCAACAACCTTCAAGAGTTTCTGCAAAATGCACATCCAGGCTCTGCCCCAACAGGGCCAGGGGACCCTAAAATGCTAACCTGTCTGGTGTTTGTGACAGTGTCAAAGAGGCCTGGGTAGGGAGTCTTATATCCCACCCCTGCCTGTACCCAAGGATCAAAAAGCCTGAGACACACAGTGCCAGGCTGGCAGAGGGAGAGGGTGTTGCAGGGACCCTGGCCCACCTGTCCCTCCAGACCCACTACCGTGTTTAGGGAAAATGGGGGGGTGCAGAATCACACTAATGTGGACCCACTTGGATGATTGTTTTATTCATGCTGTTCCAGGAAGGGATGTCAGAGCTGGACCAGTCTAAACCCTCGGAGACTTTTCAATTGGCCACAGGGGCGCTGTCGGGCTGCTTATGGGTCCTCAATGTCGAGAAACTCCTGCTTTGGGGGTGCCGCCCCGCGGTACCATGCACAAGACCCATCACTTCTCTTGATGCAGGCGAAGAATTTGGCCTGGTGCCCATTGATGCTCTTCTCTGTGACCCAGTCCATCCACAGGCACTCGTCCGGAGAGGAGATGTAGCATGGGATCATGGGGCAGCGTGTGATCTAGGGAACACAGGCAGGGGGACTGAGTTGGGACCAAGGTTACCTGGGGCACCTTCAGAACCAGCAGTGTGCCTACCGAGGATGTTTAAGGACAGCAGTTCGGCTGAGTCCCATGTTCCCCATACTGAGTTCGGTCAGGACTGGGGAAAGTCTCTGCACTCATCTACTTATGCAGCCCTGTGTGGTAGGTGTGCCTCTGCTTAGGGCCATCTGGTGTATGTTCTCCAAAGATGGTTTCCACTTAGCCTGCCCTCCTGGAGTTAAGTCCCTACCAGGGGTTTATATTTCCTGGAGACAGGTTTGAGCCAAGGAAGAAGGCCCATACACACCAGGTGTGGTGGTGCACACCTTTAATCCCAGCACTTCAGAGGCAGGCGCAACTCTGTGAGATGGAGGCCAGCCTGGTCTAAATAGTGAGTTCCAGGCCAGCTGGGGCTATAGGGAGACCCTGTCTCAAAAAACAAGAAAAAAAGAATGCCCATACTTAGCTCTCAAAAACCTGTTCTGGGACAGTGGCCACTAGCATTTGGGCAAAAGATTACACACCACCTGTGGAGCTGCACAAAGATGAGAACAGAGAGCATTATTTTGTTGTTGGTTACTGTTTTGTTTTGTTTTTTTAAATACTATTTTTGTGTGCATGAGTATATTGCCTGCTGATATATCAGGGCACCCCTGTCATGCAATGCCCTCAGAGGTCATAAGAGGGCGTCAGATCCCCTGGAACTGGAGTTATGGATGGTTGTTAGCTGCCATGTGGGTGCTGGGAGTTGAACCCAGGTCCTCTGCAAGAGCAGCCAGTACTCTTAGCTGCTGAGCCATCTCTCCAGTTCCTGTCTTTTGCTTGTTTTTAAGAGTCTCAAGTATCCCAGATTGCTAAAAATAACCTTAAACTTCTGATCTCCTGCTCTACCTCCTAAGTGCTGGGATAACAGGTATGTACTACCACTCCTGGTTTACACAGTATTAGGGCTGGAACCCAGGACCTCCTGCATGCTAGGCAAGCACTCTACCACGTGAATTATATCCCTGGCCCGTTTTCTGTTGTTGTTGGAGACAGGATCTCATTCTGCAGTGCAGGCTGGTAAGGAGCTCACTATATAGCTCAGCTTGGCTCCAAACTCAGCAATCCTCCTGATTTAGTTTTCTAGATACTGGGATTACAGGCATGTATTGCCATGCCCAGATAGAATTTCCTTTTGATGTTGTGCCAGGAATGGTGGAACTGCTCTTGGCTGGACACTTGGGCTTGGAATTCACACCTTTAATGACCAAGTAACAGGAGCAGGCAGGTACCACCTGGAAGGGGAGGAGGCCCATAAACAGGCTCAGCTGACACAGGCCTGGAGGGCAGGGCTCAGCTGACAAGGCTCGGTCCCAGAGTCACTCAGGATAACACACAGAGATGCTAGGTACCCAGCAGGGGGAGGTATGGAAAAGAGCAGGGCATAGGGCGAGTCCTTGGGGATGACAGCGTCCCAGCTGTCCCCCTCTTCAGTCACATCTAAGGGTGTGTGCTGGTACAACTCTGCTTAGCACAGCTTCTGGGAGGATTTGAGGAGGAAAGTACCTTCAGAGCTCCCAGTTCCACATTCACAGAGACTCATGCATGGAAAAGTCTAGAATATTGGAGAAAGTATCTACCCTCATGAGGCACACAACATTTACACGTGCACACGGGGAGAAAAATACTCCCAGGACCATGTTCCCCTCACAAAATTTCTTTCCTAAAGGGTTTTTCTTTCTAGAAGCTGCCAGTCAGGTTGACTGACTTATAGGCTTGTCCTACCCCCATTCCCTTAATCTTTCAAATATCCCTTGCCAGAAACACAGCTCAAGGCTCTCTGGTAACCAGAGACCAAAGGCTCCGGACACCCTTGCTACCGCACCTTGTCAGAGTCCACTGTGAAATCTGGATTCAGTGACCTGAGGGGTCTGGGAAGCCAAGGACCCCACCCCCCCAACACACACTCCCCACCTCCCACCGTCACCCCGAGGCCTCTTGATGGCAATGCCAGTGTGGGGACGTGGATCCGTTTACCTTGCACTCACAGCCCATCTGGTACCTATGGTTCAGGCTCTTCTTCTGGGTGGTGCTCAGTGTGTCCCAGGGCACAATAAAGTCACAGAGGGTAATGTGCATCTTACCATCCCCCTCGGCCTTGCCTGTGAGGAGACAGAGTGACCAAGCTCAGGATGAGAAACAAGTTCCCTCCCACATCTAGGTGCAGCCTGGGGTGTTGAGAGTTAGCTCTAACAATACTATGGTTGGGTTACTCGGAGCTTTAAAATAATCCATGTTTGAGCCAGCTTGGTAGGGCACACGGAGATGCAGGCAGGAGGATCGAGAGTTTAGGGCCAACCTTGGCTACATAGTGAGTTTGAGGCCAGCCTGGGCCACATGAGACCCTGATTCAAAACAACTGTGCTGGATGGCTTTAGTGTCAACTTGACACACCTGGGTTGAGGGAGCCTCAATTGGAAAATTGCCTCTATTGGACTGGCCTGTGGCCATGTTAAGGGGCATCTTCTTGATGAGTGATGTGGGAGGGCCCAGCCCACTAACTTGACACAATCTGGGAAGAATCTCAATAAGAGATTGTCTATATTGGGTTGGCCTGTGGGCATGTCTGTAGGGCACTATCTTAATTAACTTATGTGGGAAGACCCAGTCCACTGTGGGTAACACAGGGGGTCCTATACTGTATAAACGTAGAGAAACTGAGCTGGGTACTAGCACGCTAGTGAGCATAGTTGTTTCTCTCTGTCCTTGACTGGATGGGACTAGTTATTTCAGGTTTCTGCCTTGACTTCCCCACAGTGAGGGACTATATAACCTAGAACTGTAAGCTAAAATAAACCACCTCTCTTTTAAGTTGCTTTTTGCCAGGGTATTTTATCACAGCAACGGAAATGGAACTAAAACAATGTACAATGTAGAAAATGAGAAGGTAGGCAGGTAAGAACACTGGCTGCTCTTGCAGAAGACCTGGGTTCGAATCCCAGCACCCACATGGCAGCTAACAACTGTGTAACTCCAGTTCCAGGGAACCCACAGCCTCTTCTGTCCTCCGTGGGCACTGCATGACACAGGTGCACTTACCTACATGCAGGCAATACATGCATACACATAAAATAAATAAAATATTAAAGAAAAATAAAGTAACAGTGGGGGCTGGAGAGATGGCTCAGCAGTTAGGAGCACTGGCTGCTCTTGCAGAGGACCCGGGTTCAATTCCCAGCACCTACATGGCAGCTAACAACTATCCATAACTCCAATTACTCCAGGGGCTCCAACACCCTCTTCTGGTCTCTGAGGGCATTGCATGACACGCGTGCACTTATATACATGCAGGCTTAACACTCATACACATAAAACAAAAATAAAACATTTAAAATAAGAAGGTTGCCGGGTGTGGTGGCACACGCCTTTAATCCAAGCACTCAGGAGGCAGAGGTAGGCGGATCCTCTGTGAGTTCGAGGCCAGCCTGGTCTACAGAGTGAGTTCCAGGCAGCTCGAGCTACAGGGAGACCCTGTCTCAAAAAGACCAAAATAAATAAATAAATAAATAAATAAATAAATAAATAAATAAATAATAAATAAATAAATAAAATAAGAAGGTAACGGTGAAGGGGAGCGGTCCGTCCCTCATCTGTAGCTGCCCCCAGACTCTTATGCACAACATCCATACACAAAAGATCACGTGCTACGCAAATCATCTTGTTTCTGGTTTCATTTGTAATCTGTGTTTCTGTTGTGGCTAAGAATGCATGGAGCCTTGAAACTCCAGCGATCTGCTCCGGGTTCCCTCTGTGGGCCACAAGAAGCTGCTGTCCCTCTCTTGTGCTTCAGGCCCCTGACCCAGCTCTGCTCCCTCTCCATCTCAACACAGCGGGAGCCACAGCCACCAGGGAGAAGAGACAGCATCCAGTGAACAGCACCCAGTGTGAACAGCACCCCGTGTGAACAGTACCCCAGAGGCTGCTGTGGAGTTCATTTACACACTCTTCTAAGACAACAGCCCCTCGTCACCACACATAAATGCCTGGGATGAACACAGGAGGCCACCGAGGGCTGGGCAAGACCCTGAAGGGCACCAGGCTGCACCCTGAGCACCTCTGTTTGACAAAGCATCAGCACAGCATTATGGTAAAGGGGCCTTTGAAAAATATTAGTGTGGGACTGGAGAGATGGCTCAGCAGTTAAGAGCAATGGCTGCTCTTGCAGAGGACCTGTGTTCAATTCCCAGCACCCACATCAGGTGACAACCACCTGTGCTCTAGCTCCAGGGGATTCCAATGTCTCTGGCCTCCTCAGGCATGGGCATATCCACACACAGACACGCATATATAAACATAATTAAAAACTAAATCTTGGGGCTGGAGAAATGGCTCAGGGGTTAAGAGCACTGGTTACTCTTACAGAGGACCCGGGTTCAATTCCCAGAACCCACATGGTGTACACATATGTGTATGTGCAGATGCATGTGCCTGTGAACTCATGAGCAGGTGGCAGAGGAAGGTGTTAAATATCTTCCTATCTTTGCCTGAACCTGGAGCTGGTGTTTCAGCTGGGCTGGCGGCCAAGAAGCCTCCGCAATCCTCCTGTATCCCCCCACGACAGCACTGGGGTAACAGATAAGTGTGAGATGGAGCTTGGGTTTTTACACGGGTGCTAAGACCTGAACTCAGGCCCTCGTGGTTGCACGGATTTTGCTCTTAGCCACTGAGCCATTTATCCAAACCGAGATCAAAGTACATTAGAAACTTGTATGAAAATGTCACGATTCCTACTATTTTTAAAATTTTTATTTAATATCATGTGTGCACATGAGGCGGGTGTGGACCACGGCACACACGAGGAAAGTCAGTGGACAACTTTAGGAAGCCTGTTTTCTCTTTCCACCTTTACATGGGTTTCTGGGAATTGAACTCCGATCATAGGGCTTCCATGACAAGCCCCCTTTCTGGCTGAGCCATCTCATTGGCTCGTTATTTTGTATAATTAATACTAATAAAAAAATAAGGTCTTTAGCATACTTATATGTGGTTGGGCGGCGCACAGCATGATCATCTGTTAACAACACTCTAACTTATGTCTAGCTTGGAAAAAGGCAACACGTGAGTCTTGGTACAGAAAAATGGGAATTGATTAAAATGTATAACTAAGGCTTGTATGTTTACTTTTCCTTTCAGAGGAGAGGACTGTAAAATTACAGGGCCAATTCTGTATCAGTTCCCAGCCGGTTTCAGTGCCCAATTCCACATGTGAAGCTGAGTCACCAGCCTGGGAGGAGGTGACCAGCCTCGGGCAATGTGGTCACTCACACAGCCAGAGCCAGCACTGGCTGGGCGGTTTGCTAGACCATGTGATTTCTGGTTAGCCCCTTGTTAAAGGGTTGTCCTGACTCTAGAGAACTGGAAATAGGTTTTGTGTCTTGGGAAATAAAGACTATAGTCAGTCTGGAGTCACCTGACCAAGTCCAAGAGAAAAAGCCAGAGTAAAGAGGTTCCTTGGGCAGTGGGGTGAATCAGCCACGGGTGCCATGATGTTCTTACCCCGATCCCCCTCTCAAGGAGAGCAGGATAAGGCATGCACCCCGACTGGCAGAGCATTTGGCTTACGGGGCAACCAGAGCCACTGTTGTCCTAAAGAATGGGCTGGAGAGATGCTCAGGGGTTAAGCGTAATGGCTGCTTTTGAAGAGGACCTGGGTTCGGTTCCCAGCACCCACATGAGAGCTAACAATTATCCATAACTCCACTTCCAGGGGATCTGTTGCTCTCTTCTGGCCTCTTTGAGCATTCCACAACATGGGTGCACTTACATATGTGTAGGCAAACCACTCATACACAGACACATATAAATAAATCCTCTAAAAAAAAAAAAAGAGTAGAGGACCTGGAGAGACGGCTCAGCAGTTAAGAGTACTGGCTGCTACTGCAGAGGACCCGGGTTCAATTCCCAGCACCCACATAGCAGCTAACCACTATTTGTAACTCCAGTTCCTGGGGAATTCAACACCCTCTTCTGACTTCCGCAGGCATCGCATGACAGGCGTACACTTACATGCATGCAGGTAATACACTTATACATATAAAATTTTTTTAAAAAAAGGAGAAGAAGCCGGGCATGGTGGCACACGCCTGTAGTCCCAGCACTAGGGAGGCAGAGGCAGGCGGATCTCTGTGAGGTCAAAGCTAGCCTGGGCCAACTAGTGAGTTCCAGGATAGCTGGGGCTACAGGGAGACCCTGCTTCAAAAAGTCAAAAAAAAGAAGAGAGGGGTCAGACATGGGGTCGCCCATTTTTTTTTTTTTTTGGTCTTTTTGAGACAGGGTCTCCTTATGGCCCCAGCTGTCCTGGAACTCACTATGTAGACCAGGCTGGCCTTGAACGCAGAGATCCACCTGCCTCTGCCTCCCAAGTCTGGGATTAAAGGCGTGTGCCACCACGCCTGGCAGTGTCACCCACTTTTAATCCCAGCATTCAGGAGGCAGAGGCAGGTGGACCTCTTTGAGATCAAGGTCAGCCTGGTCTATATAGTAAGCTTCAGGCCAGTAGAGGCTACAGGGAGACCCTGTCTTAAATAGACATCTTAGGCTTGGGATGTCCAAAGCACACTCCTGTCTCCAAATCTAAGGACAGGTGTCTGGGGGAAGGGGGCAGGGGTCCATGTCAGAATCTTTCTCAATTGCTTTCTACCTTAATTGTTTTTAATAAATATTTTTAAATTTATTTTTATTTTTTATGTGTATGAGTGTTATGTCTGCTTGTATGTAAGTGCACCTGTGTCATGTAATACCTACAGAGGTCAGAAGAGTGTTGGACCCCCTGGAAGTGGAGTTATAGAGAGTTGTTAGCTGTCATGTGGTGCTGGGATTTCAACCCCAGGTCTTCTGCAAGAACCACCAGTGCTTTTAATCACTGAACCATCTCTTCTGCCCCAAGTATTGTTGTTGGTTTTTATTTATTTATTTATTTATTTATTTATTTATTTATTTATTTTTGAGACAGGGTCTCGCTATGTAGATTAGGCTGGCTTGGAACTCACAGAGATCTGCTTACCTCTGCCTCCCAAGGGCTATGATTAAGAAGTGTGTGCTATCATGGCTTAATTTTTTAAAATTTATTTCTATTTTATGAGTGTTTTGCCTGCATGTATGTAAGTGTAACATGTGTGTTCAGTGCCCACAGAGGCCGAAACAGGATGTTGGATCCCTCTGGAACTAGACGACTGTTAACACTATGTGGGTGCTGGGAACTGAACCTGGTTCCTCTGCAAGAGCAGCGGTGCGCTTAACCACTCTCCACCTTATTTTTTGAGAGAAGGTTTCTCACTGAACCTAGAATTTACCAATTGGGCTAGAATGGCTGGACGGTAGCTCTAGAAATCCTCCTGTCTCTGCCTCCCTGGCACTATGGTCCCCAGCACATGCTGCCATGCACAGCTTTCATGTGGGTGCTGGGGACTGAGCTCAGGTCCTAATGCTTATCTGGAAAACACTTTACTGACTGAGCCATCTCCCCAGCCCCTACTCCCCCGAGGACAGCTTTCTACTGAGGTCCTCAGCAGACCCTTCCCACCTGTTCTGCTGTGTGGCCCCGTAACCTGCTTTTCTTAGACCTCACATGCATCTTTACATCAGCTCATCGGGTTTGCATTCAGTGTGACACAACATGCTCAGATGACCACCACCTCACATTTAAGAAACAAAGTTATGGGGCTGGAGAGATGGCTCAGTGGTTAAGAGCACTGACTGCTCTTGCAGAGGACCCAGGTTCGATTCCCAGCACCCACAGGATGGCTACAAACTGTCCTTAACTCCAGTTCCAAGGGAATCCAAAGCCACCTTCTGACCTCCATGGTACTGCACGACATGGATGCACTCACATACATGCAGGCAATACACTCATACACATAAAATAAAAATGATAAAATATTAAAAAAAGAAACAAAATTATCAGTGAGTGTGGAAGTAGGTCCCCAAAGTGCCTCACATTGCTCTCTTCCATCTCACAACAGCCCCACCAGAGGCCTGGAAGGTGCTGACAATCCAAGCCACTGGGCCAAGGACGCTAGTTGGTCAGGTGTTCAAATGCCAGTGTGCTTTAAGAAGCTGTGCCTGGGCATCGACCTGGACCACCTTCCGCCTTTTTTTTTTTCTGTCTTTTTGAGACAGGGTCTCCCTGTAGCCCCAGCTGTCCTGGAACTCACTATGTAGACCAGGCTGGCCTTGAACTCACAGAGATCCGCCTGCCTCTGCCTCCCAAGTGCTGGGACTAAAGGCGTGCGCCACCGCGCCCAGCCTCACCTTCTGCCTTTTTTAAAAAAGTATTTTATTTTTATTTTATATGTATTAGTGTTTTGCTTGCATGTGTGTATGTGCATCATGGAATTGGAGCCTTTAAACTGGAGTTATAGACAGTTGTTAGCCACTATTTGGACACTAAACCTGAGTCCTCAGCAAGAGCAGCCAGCGCTCTTAACTGCTGGGCCATCTCTCCGAGTTGCCTTGTACCTTATCCACTATGCTGGTTTGATCTCTTTGTACAAAAAAACTGTGACCATTTGACACCTTTAATTCTCCTGCATTGCGTGGCAGGATGGTTCAGTGGGTAAAGGCCTGATCATCTGAGTTTAATCCCTGGGACCCACATAGTGGAAGGAGAGAACTGACTCCCACAAGTTGTCCTCTGACCTCACACATGTGCTGTGGCATGTACATACCCACAAACACACACACAAATAAATCAGAATGTAATTAACTCCCCTTCACCCTGGGTGTGTTTGAGCACTTCTCCAAGACACAAGTTAGTGTCTGAGCTGGAGGGTTAATGGAAGCATTGACAGGAAGTTGCTCATCAAATTCAATGCAGAGACTATCACTTTTTTTCCCTAAAACTTTCAAGTGTCCATACAGGGAGTGAGCATGTGACTCAGTAGAGCCCTTGCATGTCTGGCCTTTGCTTGGATGGGGAAAGTTTTAGCTATACACTGGCGCTCAGCCCTGACTACACATGGACGCTTGAACCTAGATTCTCCTTGACAGGTTGGGCTTGGGTGTCACAGGTAGAACCTTCAGGGAATCCACGGAGAAAGAAACTTGGAAAACCCCTACCTCCCAGCCAGTTCCCCGGGAAGGGGATTGCTGCTTCCCGCTCCAGGATGGTGGCCCGCTGCCAAGGCCTCTGCACGGGTGAGGACCTGGTGGGTGCCTCTGGAAGCAGGCACTGGCCAAGATCAAGGCCGCTTTACTGCTCAGAGTCTAACGGGCATAGGTGGTTGATGCAGTCCCTGGGGTGGCCTGCCGTTTGACCAGGTGGCCCCTAGAAGTTAGTGTGGGGGAGCTTGTTCCTTAAGGACCAGGTCACAGAGGAACACAGACTGGGAAGTCACTGGCTTATGGAGAAGAGGAGACTCAGCTCCTACACACCTGCAATTAGATACTCTTTCTTTCCTCCAACGTCCAGCGACACCCCACACACTGCCGAGGAGGGGGCTGTGTAGATAAACTCGATGTCCTTGTCAGGTCCTTTGAACATCTGCAAAGACACAGGAGGGCGGGTGTAAGCAGAGATGGGCCTCCCAACTGGAGCAAATGGGGAGTGACCTGAGTGCACCCAGGTGTTCCCACCCACCCTGCACAGAGGCAAGAACGTGTGTCATATGGGTTCACAGGCCACCAATTCTGCAAAGGCGTCCTTCAGAGTCATCATCTTCTGAGAGCAGTGGGTCTCAGCAAGTGGGCACAGCACTGTCATCTGCAGGGACTTTCTTAGAGGACACTCCTGCACGGTCATTTCAGAACCTCTGTGTGAACTCTAGAGATTCTCGCCTGCCACAGAGGATCATGCATCTGTCTAGTTCCACTAACTAAAGTTTATTTGTTTGCTAGGGAATCCCCCAAGCTCTCCCCAACCTCTTTCTTTCTCTTGATGGGATTAAACCCAGGGCTTTGAGCCCAATAATTTACACCCCCAGCACCATGTCTATGCTTTTTTTTTTTTTTTTTTTTTTTTTGAGACTAAAGTCTCACTATGGCTGGGCATGATAGCACATGCCTTTAATCCCAGCATTGAGGAGGCAGAAGTAGGCAGATGCATCTCTGTGAGTTCTAGGCCAGCTAGAGCTACAGGGAGACCCCGTCTCAAAAATAATAACAAAAAAAGTCTATGTAGGTAGCCAGGTCTGGCCTCAAATTCCCTGCTCTCTTGCCGCAGCCAGGATGCGGGATTGCAGGCATGAATGACCCTTGTTTATTTCCAGAAACTTTGATGAGGCATTGGCCTCACGATGGGGACAAAAGGGAGAGAGAAGCACTGGAACCAGAACACAACGTCAAGGCCAAGGGAAGGTCTGATTTCTCAGTATCTGACTCACAGCTCTTTTCTTTTCTTTTCTTTTCTTTTCTTTTTGGTCTTTTTGAGACAGGGTTTCCCTGTAGCCCCAGCTGGCCTGGAACTCCCTATGTAGACCAGGCTGGTCTCAAACTTACAGAGATCCACCTGACTCTGCCTCCCAAGTCCTGGGATTAAAGGTGTGTACCACCACACCTGGCAACAACTCTTTAAAAAAAAAAAAAGAAATTATGGGGCTGCAGAGATGGCTCAGCAGTTAAGAACACTGGTTGTTCTTGCAGAAGACCCAGGTTCGAATCCTGGCACCCACATGGCAGCTAACAACTGTCCGTAACTCCAGTCCCAGGGGATCCAACAGCCTCTTCTGGCCTCAGCAGGCATTGCACGACACTGGTACACGTACCTACATGCAGACAGTGCACGCATACACATAAAATAAAAAGAACTTATTTATATTTATTTTATGTGTTTAAGCATTTTGCGCACGTACCTACATGCAGACAGTGCACGCATACACATAAAATAAAATAAAAAGAACTTATTTATATTTATTTTATGTGTTTAAGCATTTTGCCTGCATGCATGTAAGTGCAACCATATGTACAATACCTGGGGAGGCCAGAAGAGGGTGTTGGATCCCCTGAAATAGACAGTTGTTAGCCATCATGTGGGTGCTGGGAATCGAACCTGGTACTCTGCCAGGGCTCTTAAAAACCCCCAAGGCATCTCTCCAGCCCTGACTCACAGCTCTTCAGGCGAGCACCTGCTGCCCAGCTGAGGAAGAGCAGACATTTTCCCTTTTTCTCTCTCTCCCTCCCTCCCTCCCTCCCTCCTCCTAGAGAGGCTCTTAAAATTTTATTTCTATGTGTCTATGTCTATGTGTGCATATGTGTATGCGGGTGCCATGTGTATGCAGGTGCCATGTGTATGCGGGTGGAGGCCAGAAGAGGGCATCAGACCCTTGGAGCTGGAGTTCCATGCATTGTGAGTTACAGGCACCTGAACACCGTCCTCTGCAGAAGCTGTGTGCTAGAGGGTCTTTGTCAGCTTGGTACAAACTACAGTCACATGGTAGGACGGAACAGCAATTGAATTTTCTCCATCAGATTGGCCTGTGACTGAATTTTCTCCATCAGATTGGCCTGTGACCATGTCTATAAGGAATTTTCTTAACTGCTAATTGATGTAGGGGGCTCAGCCTACTGTGGGCAGTGCCATCTCTGGGTGGGTGGGCCTGGGCTGTATAACGTAACTGTGCAAGCCAGCCGTGCAGGGGTCCTCTGTGGTCTCTGCTTCACTTTCTGCCTTGGGTTCCTGCCTTGAGTCCCCGCCCCGATTTCCTTTGGTGATGGACTATTAACTGGGTGTGAAGGATGAAATCAGCCCTCTTCTCTCCAAGTTGGTTTTGGTCAGTGTTTTATCACAGCAATGAGAAAACAGGTAGACAGGACTCTTAACTGCTGAGTCATCTCTCCAGTCCCTCTCCTAGAGCATTTTAATTAGCAAAGCCAGATGAATCAAGCGCATCCCTTACGTCAAGACAAACCAGCCTTGGGGGGCTTCACTACCAATCCATGGGAAGAAAGCCCAGGAGGATGACATTCTCCACATGCACATCCAATGATGTCATTCACTAAGAGGCCGAGGTGCTTGCTGTGAGGAGGTCATGAGAGCCCAGCTTCTTCTTCGGTTCATGAAGAGACTTCAGTACTGAGAGACAGGTCACCCCCTTGAGGTGATGTGTGTAAAGAGGAAGCAAGCACTCCCCTGGCCTTTGGAAATATTTTCTAGGGCCTTTGCTGCTTTTAACTTTGTTAATTATGGACGATGACAACCACTACTGTGTAGCAAGCCTGTCCCTAACACTGGGGCCAGCTGTCTTTCTTTGAACACTAAGTTAATGCCAGCCACTACCACTACAGCATCAGGCAGTGACCCCAAGGCAAAGGGTTCTTCCCTACCGTCTTCCTGCCCTGTCTTTCCCTCCCCTCCCCAGACAGAGTCTCATATAGCCAAGGATCACTTTAAACTCCCGATTCTTCTGCTCTACTCTACCTTCCGAGCACTGGGATTGCAGGTGTGTGCCACCTTGCCCAGTTTATGAGGTGCTGGGGCTCACACTCAGGGCTTAACGCATGCTAAGCAAACAATCTACCAATTAAGCCATATCCCTAGCCTCTCTCCCTCAAATACGGGTTTCTTTCCGTTGGTCCCCAGACATAGAAAGCACTCTGAAAACACTAACATGTCTGCAGCCCCTCTGATCTCAGCCCTGTCCATCTGATGGGCTGCCTTCTCAGTAAGTGGCCCCTGACAGCCAGGAAGCTGCCTCTGACCACACCTGCGGACTCAGCCTCTTCTCAACTGCAGGACAGGCTGGGCCGTACACTGCAGCTACAGACCAAGGTCACCTCTTCCATTAGTTTGGGGGCAAAGACTGTGTCCTCCCAGCCACTGAACACTGCAACAGCTCAGCCTCAGAGGCTCAGATGCCGCAGTGACCCCAGTGACTTATAAGGAGGTTCCCACTAGTTTATCACCTAGTAAAATCAAGATGTTTCTGGAAAAACTGAAGTGCTTGAGAATTTAAGATTTCTGTCTGACTTTTCAGGTCCTTATGGCTTAAGGAGAACAGGGCCTGTGTGTGGCTTGACAACCTGAGTTTTTGGCCTATAGCTGGCTGGGTGGAACTCTAGTCCCCTGTCCGATCTGTCCACCCTCTGCTCCCTGGATGATGCAGTCACATCTGAAGTTACCTTTATCTGTTTGATCTCATATTGAATCCTCTTGATGGGGTTCCCATAGATGTCATTCCCAGAGTCCACCTCCTTCTCGCTGACCGCTTTGGCCCTGATCACTGCAAAACACAGAAACACAGAGGTGAGAAGAGCCCCCTAGGATCATCCAGGTCCTGCCCAAGGGTTCAGTGTCCCTGCCTATGGGAGGTGGGCCCATTCCTCACCTGTTGTAACCTGGGGGCCAGAGGACCCTGACCTGGCACAAGCCAGGAGAGGGAGCGCCTATGGCTTGTTCAAGAGTTCTTTCTATGCTGGGGCTCTGTCGGTAGAGTGCGTGCCTAAATTGCCTGAAGGTCTGGGTCTATCTCTAGCAATGCATAAAACCAGGCATGGTGGCACACACCTGTAATCCCAATGCTTGGAAGGTAGAGACAGGAGGACCAGAAGTTCAAGGCTAACCTGGGCTAATAAAACGCTGACTTGAAAAAAGCAAGCTAGACACCAACACCCACAAATTGTCCTCTGATCTCTACATGTGCACTGTAGCACACAGATACCTCCAAAATAAGTTAAAAATGCAAAAAAAAAAAAAAAAAGAAAACCCACTTGAGGACTGACACACCTGAGGTTGTCCCCTGACTGCCCCATGGACCTGCACACAGACGTCCATAGGACACTTTGCATGGAAACGCTTTTCCTGCAGTGCTAGGGAGCTAGGGAGGGAACTCAGGTCCTTTGGCATGCTAGGCAAGCGCTCTGCTGAGCTGCGCCTCAGCACCCCAGTGGATAGGCCTTTCAGATCTGAGCTCCCTAAACATGAATAAACTAGGCCCCTTTGAGGTTGATGCTCACCCACCTTCTTTCAACCCCAAAGCCTGTTTGAGGTGGTGGTGGCTGGGATGTCCACATCCCTCCCTACAGGAGCGAGATTACAGAACAGACCATTTGCTGACTGTTCTCTGCACACCAACAGATAGGCCTCAAGGAGGGAGAAGTCCCAGCAATCGGGAGGAAGTCAGACCCACAGCTGCACTGAGGCTGCAGAGCTACCCAGGGCGAGGACTCCGAGCTTCGCTTTGGCATTGTTTCAGGGTTTGTTTTGGTTTTGTATTTCTGTGGTTTTTGCTTGCTTTTAAACATCTCGGGGCTGGAGTGAGATGGCTCGGTGGTTAAGAAGACTTGCTGCTCTTGTGGAGGATGGGGCTTTGTTCCCAGTACCCACGGGGCAGCGAACAACCATCCGTAACTAGAGTTCCAGGTGATCTGTTGCTCTCTTCTGGCCCCTCACAGGCCCTGCATGAATGAGTGCACTTACATGTAGGCAAAATACTCATACATATACATTTTTAAAAGTTAATAAAAAAGGAGGTGGGGACTTAGCTCAGTGGTACAGCACCTGCCTAGCAAGGGCAAGGCCCTGGGTTTAGTCCTCAGCTCCGGGAAAAAAAAAAAGTTAAAAAATCTCATTACCTAGCCCTGGCTAGTCTTGAGCTTACAGAAATCCACCTGCCTCTGCCTCCTGAGTGCTGGGATTAAAGACATGCTCCACCATGCCTGATAATTTTATTTTTCTTTTATACGTATGAGTGTATTGCCTGCATGCATGTTAAGTGCACCTGTGCCATGCAGTGCCTGCAGAGGTCAGAAGGAGGTGTCAGTTCCCCTGGAACTGGAGCTATGGATGGTTGTTAACTGCCATATGGGTGCTGGGATTCCAACTCAGGTCCACTGCAAGAGTGACCAGTGCTCCTAATGCTGAGCCATCCCTCCAGCCCCCATAATTTTAATCTTTATTTATATAAATGTGTGTGTGTGCCTGCTTTATCTATATGTGTACCACAGGCATGCGCTGCCCCTGGAGGCCAGAAAAGGGTGTCAGAGGATGCCCTGGAACTCATGAGCCACCAGGTGGGCACTGGAAACTGAACCGGGGTCTTCTACAAGAGCAGCAAGTACTCTTACCTGCTGAGCCATCTCTCCAATGCTGTTCTTTGTAGTAGCGCATGTTTTAGGGGAAGTGTGACACAGGTAGAGTTGGAAACTGTGCAGGGACAGACTGGGCTAGAAATGCTGTGGTTTAGTGATGGTGAGAAGGGAGGTCACAGAGGAAGAACTCCCCAGACAATGTTAGAAGTGATGGGAAGAGATGAGTCAGGAAGATTCCAGAATGTTTTAGAGCTTGGAGTCCTGCCCCACAGGGCTTTCTACTAGCAGTTAAGCCCTAGTTCCTCCCTGGTAACCCTACCACTGAGGGTCAGCAGGTCGTGCCAAGGCCAGGGCTTTCCTTCACTTCAAGGTTATTAGCTGGAGCAGAGCCTGCCTAAATGGCTGAAAACTTTGCCCTCCAAAAGGCAGTGGTGTAGGGTCACTCTGGGTGAGGGGACCTTCTGTCACTTTGCACACAGGTAGACAGAGACAGGAGCAGATAGGGTCTGCTCAGAGCCACCCCGCCCAGTGGTCAGCTTGAGTCTTAGAGACTCCCGGCCAGGGCTGCTCCCCATAGAGGCAGGGAGGTCCAGGCACGTGGGTGAACCATCTGCTCCCTCAGACCCCAGCAATGCGCTCTGGATCCCTCCCCACTGAGTCCCACACCACAGCTCGAGCCCCACCCAGCCCCAAGCCCTATTAGCACTGCTCCTTCTGTGCAGCTGAGTCACTGCCAGCCCGGCCACAGGTTCCTGTTTCCCAGCCTAAGCCAGGCCTCACTTTGAACATCACATCTGGTAAAGGCTACCTGGCAGGCCATTGTAGAACGGGAGCTCTGCCTTGACTCCCATGCCTCCGCCATAACTATCTCCTGTGAAATGCCTTCACCTAAAATGTGAACCTTCTGCAACTGAGTGTTAACCTGGATTAGTGCTGCTCAGTCACCCCTGCCCACCTCTTGATCTTCCTCGACCCATGTTGCTTTCCTGCCCCACCCCCCACGTGCCCAGAAACCAAGTATATCACACTTTGGAACAGGCAAGCCTTTTCTGCCCAAAGTTCCACCCTCTGCTCTCTGCCTGAAGAACGTCTACTTAGCCTTCAGGAGCCCATTACAGTCCTTCCCCATCTTCCTACTGAGGCACTTGGTGTATTCTCCGTCTCCCATACGTTCTGCTGTAAACACCTGGGAACCTACCTGTCTGTTTAGCAGCTCCGAGGAGGCCTCACAGGCACAGGCCACGTGGTCACGTGGAACAAACAGGTGGCGCTCAGAAAACATCTACCAGATGGAACTGCGCTGATCTGACAGCCTGGGGCTGTCTGCACAGGTGAAGCTGGCCCTTGGTCCTTACTATGTAATCTACAGCACCGGTGCAAAGTTGATGGTTAACACTGTCATACTTGCTTTTCATGCAGCACTGTCCGTCAGCTCAGAAAGAAGACAGGGTGGTGGGTCTAGGAGCAGCAGTCCACCTCCCTCTGTCTGGGAACTCTCTAGCCCTGCTTCTCTGTAGTGGCCCACTATGTGCACCATGCTTAATACATAAAAGTGCTCAACAGAGGCCAGCGGGGTGTGTGGCTGTTCGTAGAGTGCTTACATAGCATACACAAAGCCCGCAGTTTGATTCCCAGCACCACTAACAACTGAGTATGGTACGTGCCTGTAAAGTCAGGACTGCCCTGAACGTCTATGAAGTTTGAGGCCAGCCTGGGCTACATGAGACCATGTCTCAAAAACAAAAACAAAAACACGCCTCAATATACTGACAGCAAATAAACTCAATGACTCCTAAACAGCCCCAAGGTCACATTTCCCCTATGCACCGAGGTCCAAGCATGGCTGTCTCAGAAGCGCCTGAGTTCCCACATGAATTTAGGCAAAAGGCCAAGAGGAGGTCAGGTCTGTGTGAAGAGGTGGGGCAGAGATGAAATGATTAACCACAGGCAGCTGTGACCCCTACGGTGGTGGCCGGGATTAGAGAGGACCTGGGTGGGGCAGGCGGTGCTAGAACCACAGCATGTGCTGATTTTAGAGCCAGCACAGCACAGCAGAACAGGGAAGAACCCTCAGCTCCTGCAGGACAGTGGTGTGGAATGCTGTATTCTGCTTCTCGGGGCCAGAGGGACCTGGTCCTGTGGGTAGTCAGATGGGTTCCCCAGGCTGGGCAGATACAGAGGGCAGTGGAAAGCATACTTTCCTTTCTGAAATCATCAGAAAAGAAGCCGGGCGTGGTGGTGCACGCCTTTGATCCCAGCACCTGGGAGGCAGAGGTAGGCGGATCTTTGTGAGTTCTAGGCCAGCCTGGTCTACATGGTGAGTCAGGACAGCTGGGGCTACAGGGAGACCCTGTCTCAAAAAGACAAAAAAAAAAAAAAAATTCAGAAAAGAGAGCTGAATTGAGAGCCCAGGGTAAATTAGCGGTATTCAAACTGGAGAGTTAACTGGGGGGGAGGTCAGGGGTGCTGGGTGTCGGGGAGACAGTACAGCCGAGGCACCACTGTCAACAATCACCACGGTCAACTCAGCTGCTTCTGTCTGGTCATGGGGACCCAGACTATAGATTCTTTAGAGTTGAATTATGGACGGAAGCTCTTCTTCCACTTTGCAAAACCAGGTGAGGAACAGAAAGGGAGGCTCAAGGGAGGCCATGCAAACTGATTCCATGAAACCTTCTGCAAAGCACCCAACTCCCAGATGAAAGGAAGAGGCTGGGTCTGTTAGTGCATACCAAGCAGCAGGCACCTGTCTGGGCTGTTACCTGATGGGAACAGTAGATGGAGGGGAGCCCGGAGGTCTTGCCTCTAAAAGGCTTTAACAGCCCTGGCCTTGGAAGAAGCTCTGATCAGGCGGCATGATCTAGGCAGCCTGCAGACAGATGGACAGGAAACCATACAGACTGCATCACACTGGAGGACAGGGAAGAAGGAAGAAGGGCACTCTCCAGCAGTAGATCCATAGGTATGGCATCGGTCATCACTGTGACATGCGGGGTGACCGCCAAGGCCTAAAAGAGGCCAAATCACAGAAGGGATGGCTTTCCTGGGTCCTAGGCCATTTGACAGACTGGTAAGTACACCCACCCACTGGAGTGAACTAGAAGCCAGGCATGGGTGCATGTTCACTGAATACTTCTGTGCTGGGCTGGGGTCAGGCACACCAGGGCAGGGTCAACCACATCCTGCTCTGCCC